AATTAAATACGTGACTCCAGAGTACCGGGGTTATATTTTGTTTTCCTGTACCGTAGTTTGCATTGCAACACATGGCTGATCAGTACTAGAGTGCCAGGGCTGTGGAAAAATGATTGTGATTGTGAGATTGACAATATTGTCAATCAAAATAATTGATTGTGTCGAGATCACAATCTATAATCACAATAATTGATTGTGTTGAGATCACAATCTATAATCACAATAATTGATTGTGTCGAGATCACAATCTATAATCACAATCGATTCAATTTTACGCGTTACCGGAGCCAATGGAACCCGCTAATATATCGTTCCACCAACCAGACAGCTCAAACGAAGCCCACAGGAAGTCCCGCAGTTTACACTGGCACCAATTAAGTAATTAGCGCCATACAGATATGTAAGGCAGGTCCGCATCAGCCACGTCATCTTCAATTTTGGCCCCAGCACCGCCGATTAGTCACAAGCCGTCCACACGACATGAAGAACACAGAGATCGTCCGCCTTCTCTACAACAACCCCACTAAAACGGAGCGCACATGCACCATTTGCAACGAAGTGGTTAAGCAGAAAAATAGTGCAGGCTACACGAATCTGATAAATCATTTAGAAGGGCACCATGCTGGGTTTCAAGCTGTCGCTGAAGAGTGTATGAAGCGAAACTGTCAGCCGATTAGCAGCATGTTTGTTCATAAAGATGCTGCTGATATATATGGATGGGCGAAGTTGGTCGCGCTAAAAACTTTCCTTTCGTGCATGTGGATGACCCTGCCATCCGCGCCGCCATTCGCTACAAAGCAATGGATTGGGCAACATTTTTGAAACGGATGACGGCTTTAGTAGGAGTTATTGACATCAAGATTAGCAAGGATATCGCTGTTGAATGTTTGTCCTGGTTTTTGACGGATTTACCGACTCAGCAGAGCACGCGATTGCAATTTTGCTGCGACCAAAAAAGGATTACGATTTTTGGCTTTTTCACCTTTTCAAGATGGAAGCTCAATGACGGCTGCAGAACATATCGATTTTTTTTGGACATGGTATTAGCTCAATATGGTCTCCTAATATCGGACATGGTGGCAGTCGTAGCTGACAACATGGAGACCAACAAAGCCATCGCTCGGAGAATCGATGTCCCTCTTGTAGGGTGCGTTGCGCATCGTTTCAATCTCGCTGTACGAGAGCGTCTGCAGCCGCATATGAACATCATTAAAAAAGAAAGTGAGCGCACTCATGAGGAAACTTAAAACTGTGAAGCGGATCACCAAGCTAAAAAAACGACTGTGATGTCAAGCCCGTGCCACTCCACGAGCTCCGCTGGAGCGGTTGTTACAAAATGCTACAGCAATTTGAGGACTTTCGCCCTTATTTACATCGTTTCCGAGACGATTGCGGGGTGGATCGAGATATTCCGGAAGATGCTAGCCCAGAGGATATTCGCCGAGTTGCGATAGTGAATCTAATTCCGTCTGTGAGCGAGCAGCGAAAATTCGCTGCTTTACTGGACGAGATGACTGCATTTGCTGTCATTTCTGGAAAACTTCAGCGCGACGACATTACAGTCGCAGCTGTCCGTGACATTTTCGATATTGTGCTGGATGATTATGATGGTATGGAGAAATATCTGGCGGTCGACGCAAACATTATCGAATTTCCACTTTTTGAAAGTGGTCTAGCTAAACTTCAAGCTGGTTTAGATAAAACTTTGGAGCGAAATGAAAACAGGCGTTAAGCCGTCTCCTAGTCACCTCGCAAGCTGACTCTCAAACAACACCTTCCACCGCGACCATAATGCTGTCAAAGCGTAAACGTGCTGCCGATGTGCTCGATGAGAAAATTAGTAAGAAAGTTCTCAAGTGCAGTGGACCACAGTCAAAGTTTATCGATGCGAGTTGGATTCCACCTACGTTGGTAGCTGCGGAACGCTTTTTTTCTACAGTCAAGAGTACTATGGGCTACTTGCGCAAACGCATGAGTCAAGAAAATCTAGACGTCGTCATACTCTTAAAACTCAACTGGGATTTAGTCACGCTTGTGGACAAATCTAAAGTGATTGTGCAGTCCAAAAGCAGCGATGATGCTGGCGGAGTGTAGATCAAAACAATATATTGCAATATACACCTTTTAGATTATTAAGATTGCAATAATTGATTATTTGAGATCCGAGACTACAATCAATATACAATCTATATTTCCACAGCTCAGCTAGAGTGCCCTCGAAGCTGGAACGCGCTGTATTTGTGAAGGCAAGGCGAGTAATGAGCTCCGCTTAGAGCCGCGCATTGCACAGGCGCCAGTTG